TGTCTCTCTCTGTGTGTGTCTCCGTGACTCTCGCCTCTTCCCCCGCACCGCGGCTACCCCCCAGCTCCCTCCTGTGCCGTTAATTATAATAATCCTGAGTACTAATAAATTATGCTAAGCGAGGAAGGCGGGCGGCGGGGGGGGCGCGTGTGCGAGTATGAATATGAATATGTAAAATGCAGTAATGATTACCTGCCGCCACCGCCGCCGCCGAACTCTCATCTTGACTCGCTGCTCCTCCGTCCGCCATTTTGAATATTTTAATCAAAATCGGCCGCCCGATAAACCCTCCCTTGCTCGTTTGCTCCTCGGCGGCCCCCTCCCCACTCGCGGCGTTCGGTGCGCAGGCGCCAAACGCCCCGGCTGGCTCCCTTGCCTTCCTGGCGGCCGGTGCGCATGAGCGCGTTTTTCTTCTCCTCCCCTTGAGGTTGCGGCCGAGACGCGATCTGGGAGGGTGGGAAGTGGGGTCATTTGGGGTATCAAGCTCTCTTCAAGCAGCAACGGGGCGGAGGGGGGGGGAAGAGACTTTGTGGTTCGCCTGCTATAGGGATCTCATCACCCGGAGAAGGGAAAACGGCGGCCGGAGGTTCCTCGGCTGTGCCGTTAACGGAGTAGCGCTAGAGGATGATTTGCCGGAATGAAACACGCGCACCGTTCGTGCTACATAGGATCGCCCACTGGCCGGACTGCGCTGGTTGACTTTTTCCGTCCCAGACCCGCTCTTGGAAACAGAGTGCTCGCTTAGTCAGAAAACGAACCAAAATTTTTTTACTCCCCTTTAAATTTTTATTCCTTTTCCTTAAATGGAACACGATTGGTCTTATAACTTCCTTTATTGTGGCCTTGAACAAGTCCAGTCTGATCCTACGCATTCTTTTCCCCCAGGAGTGCGAGCTCTATGCGAGTTTTTGACGTATGTACTATCGCTATATTGCTCCTGACGGCTGTAAACCTTCGGGTAGTGTGGGCGGCATATAAGATAGATAGATAGATAGATAGATAGATAGATAGATAGATAGATAGATAGATAGATAGATAGATAGATAGATAGATAGATAGATAGATAGATAGATAGATAGATAGATAGATCACTGTTTAGGATAGTTGCAAGTGAAAGGGGGGGGGAATTCAAAGCAGAATAAAATGTCTCGCCTCTCACACCACATGGATCCACAAAGCCCTTAAGAAAATAGCAGTACAACCGGTAGAAACATTAAAAGGCTGCATCCTCTTAACAGCAGAGAGACAGCAGCAGTGCTAGTGTAGGGGAAAACGTGAAAGTGCAGGAATTTATAATGACAGTTCCCATGACCAACCCCTCCCATCTCAAAGCCACTGGGAGATCAGCAAATGAGTTCTCAGTCAGAAACTGGACTTTTGTAAAGCTGATGGTGCTTGATGGCCCGTTTCAACTAGGCTGAAATAGTTGTGTTACAACAAGGATCCTTTGCAATCATACATTGTTCCTGGGGAAAATCCGTTTCTCTCGCAGCTACCTTCAGGGTTGCAGCTAAACTTAGAGGTTGTATTTTACCTGTTTGTTTTAAAGATGCAAGACTCGTCATTTCTGCTGCAACAGGTTAACATGGTTGCTCATCAAATTTTGAGGAAGAAGTGGTAAATAAGTCACTCTAAATGCCCTCTGAAGAAGCAATTTTCCCCTGACACTTAGAGGCAATATGGAATTAAAATGGTGCTGTTATTGTGAAGGCTTTGTAGCCAGCATTCATATTTGGCTCTGGAGGAAGCAGAGATGGGTTCAAAACAATGAGCTGCCTATTCAGATAAAAGTCAGATGGGAGAAGGTGATCTTCCTCATCTCAGAAATGGAGATAGCAGTGCTAGACAAAGATGCAATATTGTTGTAAATTTCAATCTCAATCTGAGCTGTCATGAAATGGTAAAACAGGGTTATTGCCAGCTAGTATGTTCCAGCCTTATTATCCCTTCCCACCATACTCATTACAGGAGTAATTATCCCACAACAGTACTGGGAAATGTTGAAGGTAGCAGGAAAAGAGGAAGATCAAATACAAGATGGTCTGACTCCCTAAAGGAAACCACAAGCATGAGTTGGTGAGTCCTGAGTAGGGCTGTTGAGAACAGGACATTTTGGAGATGACTCATTCATAGCATTGCCATAAATTGGAGAAGGGGTGACTTCATAGATCACAACAACTATGTAGAAAGGGCATATTAATCCCAGATGACATTATTAGCACTCTTAATGTGCCCTTCAGTCTGTGAAACACAGATTTTTCCTGCATGACTACTTTGGTTTGAAACTGGATTTCTACTAACATGTCTTTGTTGGAACAATGTTGCAGATGATGATGTCAAACTGTGGCAATTGTAAAGCACCGCATGTCTGCATTGCCTCCTGTGCACAGCTGCCACTGTAAGTGGAGATATCCAATGATTTTTTTTAAAATGCTGAAAGTTGTGCCTGGAAAACAAAGGAACCTTCTCCCACCTGGTTTGCATCTCCAGGAGAATCATATTAGCAATATTACTGTATGTAGAAAATGACCAGAGTTGTTCTTGGCTTTAACCTACACCTGCCCAAACATTAAGTAGCCCACTTGTTACACAGATGCCGCTTGGGAAAGAGAGAAAGCAGATTTAATTCTTTTAAGAGGTGGTGTCACATATTCGGAACAGATCAAAACAATGTACTCTTTCACACAGTGCTTAATAAATTTGTGTCATATGCCGCTACAAAATACAGTGATGGCCAATAGCTTAGGTAACTATAAAGGACAGATTCAACAAAGGATCTAAGGGCATTCTTTGCACACATTTCAGTAATCCTTGTGACTGTACAAATCTTTGGCATTTATGCTCACAGAATGCACAAGCTAGTGCTGACTTTCAAATAAATAATCCCTTCACATACATGAAGCACCTATATTTAAAGTATACAGAGCGTCTTTTGTATATGCTATTTCAATAATTATTGCAATTGTATCCAAGGCTATTTGGTACATAATATGTGGTGCTGATAGTTATGATGGCAGAATGCAGTAAGCTAGTGCTGTGATTACAATAATAGAATTAGAACAAGAGACCATAAAGGTAAATCAGGCCTATCCTCTGATGAAGCAGGAAATCCAATACTAAACATCTCTAATGCAGGGTCTTCCAACCTCTCCTTAAAATTCTCCAGTGAAGAAGAAACCACTAGCTTCTGAGGTAGCCCATTCAGCTGACTGTCAGGAACTTCTGCCTAATGTTGTTTAAACAAGTCCAGCTTCCTCAATGATTATAGTTGCAAAACAAGAGTACCATAGGACCCTCATATCTGCTGGGGATTGTTTCCAATATTTAATATTTTGAGACCATGTATAAGTGAATCAGTGGATACCCTGAAGGAGCTTGCAGAAGCCCTCAAAACATGGGCCAGGGCGTGGACTCACCTCCCTCTATTACCATCTCCATGCAAGAATTGGAGGTTGTCCATGAATTTGTGTTCCTTGGCTCAACCATCTCTGTCATTCTTTCCCTAGACGTTGAGCTGGATAGACGCATTGGCAAAGCAGCTATCATGTTCTCAAGACTCACAAAAAGAGTATGGCTCAATAAGAAGCTGACAGCATACTCCAAGATCCAGGTTTATAGAGCCTGTGTCCTGAGCACACTCCTGTACTGCAGTGAGTCCTGGACCCTTCATGCATGGCAGGAGAGAAAGCTGAACACATTCCACATGCGCTGCCTCCGACGTATTTTTGATATCACCTGGTAGGACAAAGTTCCAAATAGAGTAGTCCTAGATCGAGTTGGAATTTTTAGCATGTATACACTACTGAAGCAGCGACGCCTACGTTGGCTCGGGCATCTTGTGAGAATGGCTGATGGTCAGATTCCAAAGGATCTCCTCTATGGAGAATTAGTGCAGGGAAATCGCCCCAGAGGGAGACCGCAGTTGCAATACAAGGATATCTGCAAGCGGGATTTGAAGGCCTTGGAAATGGATCTCAACAGATGGGAAACTTTGAGATCTGAGCGTTCAGCCTGGAGGCATGCGGTGCACCATGGCCTCTCCCAATTTGAAGAGACCCTCGCCCAGCAGGCTGAGGCAAAAAGGCAGTCATGAAACCAGCAAAATCAGGGAGCGGGACAGGGGACAGATTGTATTTGTCTTCAGTGTGGAAGGGATTGTCACTCTCGAATTGGCCTTCTCAGCCACACTAGACGCTGTTCCAAGTCCTCCATGCAGAGCACGATACCATAGTCTCTCGAGACTGAAGGATGCCTATGATGCATGTGTGTACAGTATACTGACAGCCATTACAAAGTGACTCACATATTTTTGTTTGACAAAGGAAAATAATAACTGTACTGACTAACAAAATGAAGTAATCCCTATGAGTGGCAATCTGCATATGAGCAGGTACTTAGAAAAGACAGAGATGTACCTGGATCTATCTATCTGTTTAATGTCACCCATTTGTTGCATGGGCTGTTGCTTCTTAACGGCTTTTAGGAGCAATAGCACTTAAAATAGCTTAGTATTATTCCCATTCTAGAGGTCAGAGACAATGACTGAGATATAGTGATTTTTATTTAGCTAGTTCATGATGTAAGTGAAACTGACTTATGGAAGGATTGAATAATAACTTTCCACATGCTCAGTCCAACGGCTCTTGCAGCATCAAGGTAACTGAAATAAACTCCAGTTAAATACTGTAGTGAACAATGAATGTGAAACCTTTTCAAAACACAGATGACTATATTTCACACAGCAACCAAAAAGCCATCAGAAGCAGAAGGTTGTGGCTGATCAAGACTCAAATCTGGGACTGCCCCTGTTGATGTTCCTGTTAGATACTGCACTAACATTTCTAATAGTGTAGATCTAGACTTTTCACTTTTTGAATTTGATTTCAGTGGAACTTTTTTAGGTGTAACTGGATCCTGCCAATTCCCTTTGTTGTCAATCCTCTTTGTCTGAAATCAGTGTTTCTCAGCCTTTAGCCCTCCAGATGTTTCAGACTTTTAACCTGCAGTATCTCTGACTGGCAATGTTGGCTGGCGTTTCTGTGTAATAATGTCCAAAATATCTCCTATAAACTACTGAACACCATTCTTAATGCATTAACCTCCACATTCACTATGTGCCTGTTATAGTAGATGTTTTTTATGCTATTCCTGAATGGTAGCAAAAATCAGAACACATAGCCTTCAGCATGAAAGCCGGTGGGGTATTGTGGATAGAGTATCAGAGACTTGGGTTCATAACCTTGTTTAGCCATGAAAACTTACTGGGGATAGCAATTGTATACCACTTCTTGAAC